GTTGTCTCCTCTGGTCTAAATCTTAGGTCTCTCACTGAAGCTTGATTTACATGTTGTAATAGCTATAGTTTAGCCATGATTTTCCAAATGAACCAGAAAAAGCTGGCTTCACACGCTACACTAAGCCACAAAGCACACGCTGATTGAAATAGCTCTTCTGACTAGGAACCCCAAACTGACTAGGAACCCTGTTGCAGAGGCTGGTCTGAATTCAGCTGGTTCCACAGCTAGGATTTTTTTCCTTGATGCACCCAGTCAGTGAGCACGTGCTAGAGATTCAGTAATTCAGTAATGATTCATCTGGGATTCCTGGGTTGGCAGACCGGAAAGGCGATCAGCTGCTGTCAGGCAGAAGGGCAGAAGGGAAAGCGGAAAGCGAAAGTGACTTCGCCCAGTTTTGCTCTTTTCCCTGCTCCGTCTCCTGACTGGCTGGCTGGGAATTGGGTGGTCCAGACAGGTCTTCCTCTGCCGGATGGTCGTCGGGGCGTTAAGGGGGCATCGGACGCCTAAGAGAGGAAGGTTATGATTTCACCCGGCCGTTCTCCTTTCTCTCTGCGGCGTCCTTTAAATGGCAGCACCAGTTTGATTTCGGCCTGTCTCAGGTGTTTGGTCCAGCCTGTTTCGCTCCAGGTTTTCCTCCGTTCCGTCCCAGGAATGTTTGCTTCTCCCCAGTTTTTTTTTTTTTAAACATTGTTCCCTTTAACAAGCTGGCTGGAACTGATCGGGGTTCCGTCCGATCTCCCTAGTTTGTTTTTTAAAAACATTTCTAAGAAGCCATGAATGTCTGCTTCTCCCCCGTTGTTGTTTTTTTTTAAACATTCTCCTTTTAGAAGCCCTCCAATCTGAGCGTAAAAGGAACAATGATTCATCTCAGTTTCCCGCGTTGACACGCCCCAAAGGCGATCATCTGATATCCGGGAAAAGGAGCGAAGCGAAGCGAAACTCCCTTTCTGACTCTCGGCGGAGGAGGCAGCGATGGAGGCCGGAGGGCCCGTGCAGGATCTGCTCAAAGAAGCCACCTGCCCCCTTTGCCAGGACTATTTCCAGGACCCCGTGCTCATCCCCGAGTGCGGCCACAACTTCTGCCGCAGCTGCTTGACCCGCAGTTGGGGGGAATC